GTGCTCCCAGGCTGACAGGTGGGGAGTGCTCCCAGGCTGACACAGGTGAATGGGGTGTTCCCAGGCTGACAGGTGGTCAGGACTGCTCCCTGGTTGACACAGGTGAATAGGAGTGCTCCCAGGCTGACACAGGTGGTCAGGAGTGCTCCCTGGCTGACACAGGTGAATGGGGTGTTCCCAGGCTGACAGGTGGGCAGGAGTGCTCCCAGACACACACAGGTGGTCAGGAGTGCTCGCTGGTTGACACAGGTGAATAGGAGTGCTCCCAGGCTAATTTTATTGGTACTAACTTGTTTTTTATAATAATGCAAGATTTCTTACAATGTTAATAAGTGACTGGGCTTGTGTTTTAAGTCATCATGGAACCAAAATTTCAGAAACTTATCTCAGACATTGTCATGGCATATGTTTTAAAACGATTTTTTTAAGAAATGCTGGGCCTGGCAAAGGTAGTGGTGGCAAGAGCAAGCGTCCCCTCCCCTGCCAGCTCCTACCCCTCACCCCATGCCTTGCAGGCAGGAGCTGTGTGGCAGCCAGGACAGCTTCGAAATGTGCCCGCTGTGTCTCGATTGCCCCTTCTGGCTGCTCTCCAGCGCCTGTGCCCTGGCCCAGGTATGAGCAGGGGTAGGTGGGGTGGGGGATTCGGGAGTAGGGGGCAAGGAGAGTGGCTCCCCTGGTCCCGGTCCTGGTCCTGGTCCTGACTGTCTGCACCAGCCCTGTCCTGCTTGTCACCACATAAATGTGAGCTCCTTAACGTTTGCCGTCTCACCTGGAATTGGAGTCATGCCTGGCCCCCACCTCCCAGCACGTGGCAGAGTGCCTACACACAGCAGTGGCCCATGTTAGTGCTTCCAACTCAAGGAGACCCCCCCATGCCAGGATGCTAGCTCTGGCACTCTGGGGGAACCTGGCCCTTGGCTCCAAAGCAGACAAACCCTGGAGCCCTCAGGGCACAGGCAGAACCAAAGGTTTGGACTTCTGAGCAGAAGACCTGGGCAGGAGGCTCCTGTGGTCTCTGAGCCCCACTGTCCCCACGACCGCCCGGTGTGTTTCCTGGGTCTGTCCACCTTCCCAGGGGCCTCATGGCCTTGCTTCTGCCCCACACACACTGGACCCAGAGGCCTGGGTACCACCGATGGGCCACACATCCTTTGACCTCACTCCTGGGTATTCACCTGGGTCTTTCCTAGGACCACACATCAGACTTAAAACAGCAGAAGCTTAATCTCACAGACCCGGGCCCCAGTTCAGAACCAAGGTGTTGGCAGGCTGGGCTGGTTCTGGGGGCTCGGCCCCAGGCCTCTCCTAGTTTCTGCTGCTGCTGGTGGTCCTCCGTCCTCCCTGGCCGTGGCTGCCTCACTGCAGTCTCTGCTTCCATCTCTACGTGGCCTTCCCCTCTGTGTCGGGGTGCTGGTGGTCCTCCGTCCTCCCTGGCCGTGGCTGCCTCACTGAAGTCTCTGCTTCCATCTCTACGTGGCCTTCCCCTCTGTGTCGGGGTGCTGGAGGTCCTCCATCCTCCCTGGCCGTGGCTGCCTCACTGCAGTCTCTGCTTCCGTCTCCACGTGGCCTTCCGCTCTGTGTCGGGGTGCTGGTGCCTCTTCTCCCCTCTTGCAAGGGTTTGTCCAGGGTACTCTCATCTGGAGATTCTTAACTTACCTCTGAAAGGCCCTCATTCAAATAAGATTACATTCTGAGGTTCCTCATGAACATGTCTTTTGGGGGCCAGAATTCTGCTCACTACAGTTCAACCTCCAACCTCTGCTCCCCAAAACTTCAAGTCCATCCCATGTGCAAAATACACCCACCTCATCCCAGCATCCCCGAGTCCCACGCCTTACAGCATTAACTCTAGGTCCCAAACCCCATGAAAATGTCATCAGCTCAGACAGTCCCAAATCACAGCCTCAAAGTCAGGTGTGGGTGAGGCCTGGGTGTGAGCCGGCCCGAGGCAAACGTCCTCTCCATCTGTGGGTCTGTGCTTCCAAAACACAGCGGGGCGTGTTGGGTGGGGATGCACCCTCCGTTCCAGGAGGAAGGAACTCTGGAAGGGACAAGGGGCCTCCCGTCTCGCGCACGTCTGGACGCGCCCCATCCCGCCACAGGCCGGCCGGTTGTTCGACCACGGCGGCACCGTCTTCTTCAGCTTGTTCATGGCGCTGTGGGCCGTGCTGCTCCTGGAGTACTGGAAGCGGAAGAGTGCCATGCTGGCCTATCGCTGGGACTGCTCCGACTACGAGGACATCGAGGTGAGCCGTCCCTATGGGGCCATCGGCACGCCCGGCGAGGGCGGCCACTGAGCACCGGCTCTCTTCCAGGAGAGGCCTCGGCCCCAGTTTGCCGCTTCAGCCCCCATGACAGCCCCGAACCCCATCACGGGTGAGGACGAGCCCTACTTCCCCGAGAGGAGCCGTGTGCGCCGCATGCTGGCGGGCTCCGTGGTGATCGTGGTGATGGTATGCGGTCCCCCGCCTCCACTCACACCCCCGTCCTCCTGCACACGTAAGGGGGTTTTGTCCACCCCCCCACCTGGTGCTGAGGCCAGATGCCTCCGCTGGGCACAGAACCCTCTCTTCCCGCAGAGGCCCCCACGTGCCTGGGCTCCAGGGAGGGGCTGAGCCTGGCTGAGAGCAGGTGTCAGTCATGCAGAGGGCTGGGGAGGATCTCCCCGTGGGTGTGGCCATGGGGCATCTTTCAAGCAAGGAGGTCGGTTTCAAGGAAGAGACAGGCAGGCAGGCAGCAGGGGAGTTCCCTGCAGCCCGTCTTGCCTTCCAGCCAAAGGGCTTCCTAATAGGACCCCTCCCACCCCTGCCAAGATGTTAGGAATCCCCAATTCCTGGGGCGGAATGGCTGTCTGACACTCACAGTGGCTGCCTTGATGCCCAGATGTGGCCCAGCCTCTAACCCTAAACCCACCCACCTCTGCCTGAACAGCCACCAGGAAGGACACAGCCTGGGAGCACAGCGGGGCTGGAGGTGGGGGGCTTCCTAGAGGAGGCAGAGCGAGGGCCAGAGCGGACTGGAAGGGCTGTCAGGGGCCATGGCCTGAGGGTGAAGGAGCTCTCGGGCCGCCCGCCCCGCAGGTGGCCGTGGTGGTCATGTGCCTTGTGTCTATCATCCTGTATCGCACCATCATGGCCATCCTGGTGTCCAGGTCGGACAACACCATCCTCGCTGCCTGGGTGAGCCTCTGCTGGCTGCCTTGGGGGGTCCCGAGTGGCCTCGCGTCCGGTGCTGACCGCCTGTCTCCCCTCAGGCCTCACGCATCGCCAGCCTCACCGGGTCTGTGGTGAACCTCATCTTCATCCTCATCCTCTCCAAGATCTATGTGACCCTGGCCCACGTCCTGACACGGTGGGGTGAGTGGGCCGGGGCCAGCCAGGTGCTGACCAGGCCGCCTGCCAGCTGCACCCAGCACGACTCTCTCACTGGCTTCTATTTCTCTCTTATGTTTTTTTCTTTTGAGACGATCTCACTCTGTTGCCCGGGCTGGAGTGCACTGCTGAGATCACGGCTCACTGTAGCCGCAGCCGTGGCCTCCCAAGCTCAAGGGACCCTCCTGCCACAGCCTCCCGAGTGTCTGGGACTGCAGGCACGCACCACTGTGCCCAGATGGAGACGGGTCTCACTATGTGACCCAGGCTGGTCTGGAGCTCCTGGCCTCAAGTGGTGACCCTCCTGCCTGGGCCTTTCAAAGTGCTGGCTGGCAGGCACGGGCCGAGGCACCCGGCTTTCTTTCTCTTTCTTATTTTTTGTTTCTGGCACCCCAGGTGGGACACAGTTTCTGGTTTGGGATGCCAGCGCCCCTGTTTCTAAATGTGGTACAGACTGGAGGTGTCTGAGCCTCCCCAGAGGCCCCCTTAAAAGAGTCGTCAGTGGGGCCTTCCTGGGGAAAAAGGACCCTGGGGGCACTCAAGCACCTGAGGAGAGGAGTTCTCGCCCCTCCACAGGGCCCCCTCCAGGCTGTGAGGTCCCCAGGCAGGAGCCGTCCCTGTAGAATAGGGCCGCTGAGCTTCTGCCGCTGGGCTGGGGAGTTCCCGGGGGCAGCAGCTGCCCGTCAGTCCTTCCCTTTTCCTTCCTCTCCCCTCTGTCTTCTCTTTCCCTGTCTCATTTCCTGAGGACAAACATGTATGGACCAATCCATCCCTTCCACAAGCTGCTGCCTGTCACCAGCCCTGTTCTAGCCCTGGGGGTGAATAACCTTGAACAAAAGCTGCCAGCCCTGCCCTGGAGCCGGGGTTCTAGGGGGGCCGCAGTGAGGAGGGAGTGCCTCCTGGTGGGCAGCCAGGGAAGGGGGGTGTCGGGAGAGACCCGAGGTTCCTGGTGCTGGCGGCCAAGGGCAGGGCCCTGAGGGAGCCGCCGGCTGCTTCTGCGCCTGTGGGGCGTTGTGCCTCCCGTAACCTTTAGCCTTTTATGCCCTCACCCCTGGCACCTGCACCGGGGCCCAGTCCCCGCATGGCCTGGGCCTCGATTCCTCTGACCCAGCCCCTGAGCACTCGCCCGTGAGCACGTTAGTCAGTAGCGTTGGGACGTGGGGTGTCACCCACGTTCCCAGCTCCCCTCCACGTTTTGGGTGACTTTGGAACGGTCGCGCTTTTTGCCCCTGTCTTTGAACCTCTTTCAAATATCCGGATGATGTGGCCTTTTCCTCACCCCTGCGTGGCGAGGTGGCCCTAGGAGGGGCGTCTAGTTGGATGCTGGCGACTCCCCCAGGGACTGAGCCTGGGCTCTGTGTGCCACAGAAACGCACCGCACACAGACCAAGTTCGAGGACGCCTTCACCCTCAAGGTGTTCATCTTGCAGTTTGTCAACCTCTACCCTTCCCCCATCTACATTGCCTTCTTCAAGGGCAGCTGGGTGCCCCCACCCCACTCCGGCCGCAGCTCGCCCTGCTTAGTTTTAGTTTTACTCACATTTCTCAGCTGCATGGGCCCCGGGCTGCATCCAGCATGCGCAGGGAGGGTGGAGGATGGAACAGGAGACCCGGGCAGGGGATGGGAGCCCATGCCGCCCTGTGCCTCTGCCCAGACGGGGGCTGCCCACCTGTTGGTCCCCCCAGCTCAGGGGTCCACAGGAGGCCGTGTTGCAGCCTTGAGTCCACAGGTTACGTCCACCAGGGCAGCCGAAGCAGCTCGCTCAGGTCCCCCCGCAGCCTGGGAGGTGGGAGCAGACAGGCAGGAACCCGGCAAGGCTCATGACCTTAACTTTGCCCCAGGTTTGTGGGATACCCAGGCAACTACCACACCTTGTTTGGAGTCCGCAGTGAGGAGGTGAGTGTGGCCGAGGCCGGGCTGGCTGATGAGCCGTGTGCTCCTCCCACTGCCATTCTGGCTCTGACTGGTGGCAATTCTTCCACACCGGCTGCCTCATCGCCCAGCCAGGGCCGGCCGTGCAGCTGCCCACCAGGACTCCCAGCCTCTCCTCACCACCTATTCTCACCCCAATGTGCCCCGTTCAGAACCACACCCTAGACGCTCCAGGCTGGGTGCAGTGGCGCACGCCTATGATCTTAGCACTTAGGGGCAGCGGGAGGAGGGTGGCCTGAGCCCAGGAGCAGGAGACCAGCTTGGGTGACAGAGCGAGACCTCGCCTCCACCAAAAAAAAAACAACCCCAAAAAACCTCCCTCACCCGAGTTGTCCCGGCTGCATTCCTCTTTCCCCATCTCAGCCCAGTTCGTGCGTAAGACAAGTGCAGCCCATTACGCTGGGTGCAGTCTCCGGCACGCGGCGGCCGCAGAGGCTGGCTTCCCTATGGGCTTGGCGTGCTCGGCCACGGCTGTGAGTTCTCCCCATTGGCCTGCGTGCTGCGGCCGGCTGTCCCCTCCCCCCCAGCGCAGTGGGCTCTGCCTTTCTTAGTGACTCCGTAACTTTCTTTTCCCTGTATTTATTTATTTGTTTACTTGAGATGGAGTGCCACTCTTGTTGCCCAGGCTGGAGTGTAACGGTATGATCTTGGCTCACTGCAACCTCTGCCTCCTGGGTTCAAGTGATTCTTCTGCCTCAGCCTCCTGAGTAGCTGGGATTACAGGCATGCGCTACCACACCTGGCTAATTTTGTATTTTTAGCAGAGATGGGGTTTCTCCATGTTGGTCAGGCTGGTCTCAAATTCCTGACCTCAGGGGATCCGCCCGCCTCAGCTTCCCAAAGTGCTGGGCTTACAGTGACTCTGTAACTCTAAGAGCCAGGTGTGAACCTGGTTTTTTGGAACGTAAATGGAAGTTGACCTGGTGGAGGATGAAGCATTGCTGTCATGTGGGGATCCCTGCAAAGCAGACCCCGAGACAGATTCTGGTGCAAGTAACAGACACATGCATCACCCCAGAAGCAGTCTCCACTGTGCCACTGACCCCCCAAGGGTAGAAAAACCATCAAAACTGTCCCCAGTACACGGCACAGCCCATCCCGGGTGAGGGCCTGGCACGCCCCAGCAGCCAGGTCACAGGCAACAGGGTGGGTGCATCTGGAGCCATCCACAGGTGGCCTCTGGGTTGGGGCGTAAGTGGGCTCCTGCTGAAAGCCTGGCCTGGAAGACCACCTTTTGGAGGAGGAGGGCGGAGAAAAACTTCACGTGGGGCCTGGGCCAGGAGTCAGCCCAGCTGCAGTGTGGCTGCCCCCGAACAGGTGCTATTTTCCTGTGAGAGGGGAAAGGGCAGGCTGGGGTGGGATGGGGGTGTGACTGTGGGTGCCACAGTGGACCAGCCAGAGGGCCTTCCACTGTAAGCGAGAAACCGGCTTAAACAAAAAAGGCGAGTTTCCTTGGCTCCTGTGCGGAAAACACTCAGGGCACTGCAGCCTCAGGGAAGAACGGTGCAGGTGTTTTGAAAAGCTGCACTGCTGTTCCCAGCATGGCTGTGTTCTCAGAAAGCTGCTCCCCACCGGAGGGAAGGTACCTGACACTCTTGGACATAGCACCCCTTGCAAGGCACGGGTTCCCGGAGCTCCCTGGGTCCACCTCAGTGGCTTGAGTAGGGTCACTGATCAGGGGCTGCCCTGTGGGTCTGTCGTGAAGCCAGAGGCTGTAGTCAGCCCCATGGAAGCCCAGAACTGGAGTCTCCAAAGGAAAACGCCCCCTGCGGCCGTTCAGAAGGGAGGTGGGGGCCGGGAAGAGGGCCGGCCTTGAGACCAGAAGGACGGGGGGAGTGGCAGGTCCCTCTCCCGGCTGACGTGAGCCCTGCTTCTGCAGTGCGCGGCAGGAGGCTGCCTCGTCGAGCTGGCACAGGAGCTCCTGGTCATCATGGTGGGCAAGCAGGTCATCAATAACATGCAGGAGGTCCTCGTCCCGTGAGTCCTCCACTCCGCCCCGGGTGGCATCCCAGGGCCAAGGGACCCCAGAGCACCTGGGGGTAGCAGCCTCCAGCCTGGCCCTAGCTGGGAGAAGAGGTGAAGGGGAGGCAGGGTCGGTCCCTTCCTGGACACTAACACCTTGTGTCGGGAGGGGAATGAGGAGTGTGCTGGCCATCTGCCCTGGGGTCTGGGCTGCCCACCCTGCAGCTGTCCTGTGGCTGGCTGAGGTCTTCTGGGTTATGGCTGTGGAAGGCGCTACCCCTGGGACCAGCTTTGACTGGGGAGGGGCCTGGGTTCCTGGGCTCAAGGCTGGGGTGATGGCTCTGTCCATTCAGAGGTGCTTCAGCTGGGCCAGTGTTCTTTGGTGTCCCCAGCCCCCAACACAGAGCAAGAGGGAGGAGGAAAACGAGGCCCCAGGCCCCAGGCTTGATCCTTAGACACCTCTGCCTCATATGCCCTTGCCAGGGACCCCTGACCACAAGGCCCCCATCTCCCTGGTGCCACCTCTACTGGCAGGCACTGTGGCCCCCATGAAGGCACCTGGGTCTCCCTCAGGCCAGAGTCCTCAAGGAGGCTGCAGAGATGGGGCCTCTCCTCCCACTCAAGGCCAGATTGACCTGACCACCCTCCCAGCACCCCCTGAACACCTGATTTCCCCCCAGAAGGCAGCTCCCAAGTCAGCACTGACTCTCCTGGGCCACCACAAGTGGCAGCTGGGAGACGGTGGCCGTGCCACATCCCGAGAGGATGGCCCTGCCTCTTGGGACTTGGGGCTATGAAGCCACATGACCATAAGGTGGAGGGCAGAGCTCCGTGCCTGGCAGGAACAGGGCGTGGACGAGTGACAGTGTGATAAAGCAACATGCACACATGCCCCGTGCAGGGCAAACCCAACATGTGGGCCCCCATGGCATCTGCTTTCCCTGGCACATAACAGTGGTCCTCGTCCTTTCCCTCCCAGCCTTGGCAGAGCTCTTGGCACTGTTTGTAATTCTGGGGGGGCCCATTCCCCCTAAAGCCTTAAGGAACAATGCAGGGGTCTGGGAGGGTGGACTGCCCCCCCGGTTAGACTGAGGACACAGACTCTCACTGAGTCCGATCTGCAAAGGCGTCGGCTCCCACTGGGTCCACCGCTCGGCCCCAGACCCATCCCTCCCTGCTGCTCTTTTTTTTTTTTTTTTTTTT